AATCCCCTGGCCTACTGTTATAAATTTCAGTGTTAAAGCATTCTACCGGTTAAACACTATGGCTGTTAAGTACCGATTCCTAAACTGACAATCCTTATTTCCAAGGGGTTTATTCACTCAGCTGCCGAAGGCAGCCGAATGAATAACCAAGCCGAAGTGAAGTGATCTGAACTCTATTTGGCTATTCACTTCAGCCTTGTACAGCTGATTTCAGCCGTACAGCCGCTGAGCCGAAGTGCAAAAGGAGTTTGACTCAGTCCATCCAACATCTGGATTGGCTGAGCCGAAGCTCCAGGAGCTCACTCGCTGCCGTTGGCCCCTATTCTCATAGAGACCGAATGGCAGTGAGTGAATAGTCGAATCCTGCTGAGCTGCATTTGGCTCGGCTAATCTGCTCGCTACCTCCGAGGTAGCAAGCAGAATAGAAAACATTTTTTATAAATTAGAAAAAAAAGTTTAAAAAGTATTTACATTTTTTTTTGAGAAATACGAAAATTAAAAAAGTTAAGAAAATAATAAAAATATTTTAAAGAAGAAAAAAAGAAAAAAAAAAACCCAGGCACGCCGACCGGACCCCACGTGACGAACTCCCGCCGCATAATGTCAAATCTGACAGATGCCGGCAAAATATAAACAATTGGGCAGAGCTAGCGGTGACATCATTGCTATCTCTACCCAACTGTTTCCTATTGGCCAGTATCTGCCAGAGTTTTTTAGCAGGTCCCGGGCAATAAATAACAACTGGACGGAGCCGGTCGTGACGTTCGCCCAGTTGTTATTGTTTAATGACAGGTCAGAGTCCCCAGGTCATTTGGGGATGCTGATTTGTCATTACAACTGGGCGGAGCGAGCTGTGGGATCACGGCTGGCTCCGCCCAGCTGTCATTTACGTGGAGCAAAACAATAATGATGAGCAAAGACCCAAACCAGTCTCTGCCTTTGAGAAGGCTCAGGCAGGAGATCTCTGTCATGGCTACATAAGGCCTACAGTCATACAAATGTTCTCATATCCAAAGTAAATGTCATAATTGGGTGGACTGTAGGCTTCTCTTGACTACAATAATCTTGGAAGCAAAGCAAGGTGTCCCTTGGCTCCATAGACAGATATCTTTATTTATCAAGGTCTATACAGACCTTGCTAGACATGTAACAGAGGTTACTTAGCTTATATAATTTAATTACAGCACAAATATTAAGTATGTTTTTTTAAGGAAACATAAAACACAACTTTATATATACACCTTTAAAAATCAGGAAACTTCTCAGAACATGAAAACTATTCTGAATGGTGAAATTAGGCCTTTGGTGGGTGCGTCTCTACTCCATAAACCGAGGGAAGGGACGTACTTAGATAAGCGTATAGAAGGTAGAAAGGTCAGACTGTGTGTGACAGAAGCATTGTCTTTTACTGTACAGATTCAGCATGTTATCAGGAGTTAACCTGTTTCAACAGTGAAAGGGTTCCTAAAAGATCCGAACAGGTATTCTAAAGGAGGAGACTAACTGACCACAGGTGGGTCTTCAGGTGGCCAGAAATGGGTAGGTTTCCGGTCAGTGTTCCTATTAGCTGTGATAGCTGCATGAGTGCGGATAAGTAGAAATTGTGTGTCCAAGCCTGTCTGGTCTAAACAAAAGGAGCCACAAAGCCAGACAGGCATTTCAGAATAAGAGTTGAAGATTGTGTAGTTAGTCCCTGTCTGTGCAGACCGGTTTGACTGAGCTAAGCAAGCTGCAATCTGTGGGTGAGCAGACTAGAGGTCCAGTCTATGGACTGATGGAACCTCTTCAGCAGAATGGCTGAGATTGAGGAAGCTCTCTTTTGAGGAGGAACTAGACAAAGCTGTGCAGCAAATAGCCAGAAGGCTGAAAAGACATTTGTGTCCACTGTAATGCTAAACAATCCCTGCAAAGGAAAAGAACTGTTATTTCTACAATTAAATTAATGAAATACTCTGCTTAGAAAATTTCCATTAAAAGCTGAATCTGAAATGGTGCAACAACAGAATACTGATATCTACTAGTAGCCCAAAGAGCAGACAGAATGAACTGGAATGACATTTGCAGAATTGCACTTTGCAGTGTTTTATCACATCACGGATAAATGGAATAGTACTTACATTGTCTGTTCTTTTGGCAGGTAAAACCGTATTTCTATATGTGCTTCAAATGTGCAATGAGCTCTTTTTTTCTGGAGGTGCCCTTTAACACTATGTGCCTCTAACACTTGCTGTACTTGTATCTTTGCTATCCCCCATTTCAGGATTATTACATGCTTTCAGGCCTGTCAGATGTGGTCTGCTGCCTCCCTTCAAGGAAGACTATTTTGTTTTCAGAGGGTGATGGTACGCTATCAGCGCTGACTATTATATGCATATGATGCTTTCAGGCCTGCAAGCTTTGTCCTTTAGCAGGTCTCCAATCAGGGATTAATTCACTTATTTATCAACACTCTTTTAAGTTATGTTAAATGGAAGTGGCATGTCCATGTATGACCTGGCCATCAATCTTTCTAATAAAAATGTATCTTTCTGCAAATGTGGATGCTACTCATCTCAGTCAAATCAGCTTTCTCCTGAGCAGGCTTGTCCAGGGAGCATCAGTCATGTAGAATTGCAGAGTGGCCTACATATATACAAACATTCCCTGATGCAACCATAAATGGTCAGAATAGATGTTTGTCCTCTAATATCTGCAAGCACCTTTATCTCAAAGCAAACCTTCTCTTTGTCCATCTATGATGACATTTAAACAAGAACTCTCTTTTATAATGTGACAGTAAACCGCTTTATGAACACTTTTGCATTAGGGTACACTTACCTTAAAAGTGTGCCCTTCTCCAGTGCTGCTGAATTGGTCTTCAGTCCCCTGCTGCCGCCATCTCTGCCGCCGACACATGCAGGTTCCCAGGCATCCTCTTTGGCAATTGGGTGGCCATTGATGATGTCGCTCCTGCGTATGCACACAGGAGTTACATCCTCCCCGACACCTGACCCATTCACAGCATCTTAGACCCCATTCACATTGAGCTACATCAAGCGCTGATTTGAGCTGAGCGACTTTGAGAGGCATTGAGCTACATTATGCTACAGTGCACATATTGTCGTGCTACGTAGCACTACTTTTGGCATGGACTTCGTAGCTGCTACATTGGGCTGTATCCAATTAAAAGCGGCCTTGATATGACATAATTCCTCTTCTTGTTTCCTGCTTATGTTCCTTCTTATATTTCTGTGAAAAAAGTGACACTTCTGTAGCGCGACAATGTCGCGCGACATTGAGCTACACCATTGAAGTCTATTGGGCCAAATCGCACGAAATCCGCCAAAAAATAGGTCATGTTCAAGCGACAAGCTACAGGCGACATTGAGCTGTGAGATGTGAATAGCTCCATTGAAATGCATTGGACAAGCTACATTGAGCTAATGTTTAAGTGATTTTGGAGCTGAAATCGCGCTACAAATTGCTCAGTGTGAATGCTGTGAATGGGCTAAGTATGCATGCACCCTACAGTGTACACAGAAAATAAATTGCTAAGGAATAGAGGAAGAATTTGTATGGCAGAAGAGACTTTGAATGTCTCTAATGCCTAAAATCCTTACCTCCCAGCATTTTTTTCATTATGTCACCTTACTTTCAAACAAATTATAAATAGGTTTTTGCAAATGAAGGATTACACATTTACATATTAAAGTGAATATATGCTTTACAGTTGCAGTGCAAAACAACAGGTTCACTTTAAAGCAGACCTCCACAAATGCAATACATAGATTTTCTCTGCTGGACGTGGAAGTGAAGTCCTCCATTCCCAGTAGCATATATTTCCGTTTCCTTTGTTATGCATGCACCCTACAGTGTACACAGAAAATAAATTGCTAAGGAATAGAGGAAGAATTTGTATGGCAGAAGAGACTTTGAATGTCTCTAATGCCTAAAATCCTTACCTCCCAGCATTTTTTTCATTATGTCACCTTACTTTCAAACAAATTATAAATAGGTTTTTGCAAATGAAGGATTACACATTTACATATTAAAGTGAATATATGCTTTACAGTTGCAGTGCAAAACAACAGGTTCACTTTAAAGCAGACCTCCACAAATGCAATACATAGATTTTCTCTGCTGGAAGTGGAAGTGAAGTCCTCCATTCCCAGTAGCATATATTTACGTTTCCTTTCTCCCCTGCCACTTCATTCTGCCACTGGGATTGAAAGCAAAACTCCCATTACCAGCTACATATACAGTACACACCTTTTCTTTTGGTAGAGGTCTACATTGAAGTGGACCCATTGATGTGCTCTGCATGGGCAAAGCACCAAGTCACTTTGAATCGACCCGGTCAGGGGTCAGAAATTATTACAACTTCTGTTACCTGTAAAAGAAGGCAGTAAATACTTTCCTTTCTCCTTGTCCAAGCCATCGAACAGCGCTCAGATCAAGAACTGCCTTTAAGTCCTCTAGAATCCCAACACTTCTAGGGAGTTAGTGACATGCAGTCAGAGGAAGGAACCTGTGAAAGCTGCAGAGAACCCAGGAGAACGACACATCTAGAAAAGTTGGCTCCCGGCGGATTTCAGGGGCCAGGTCCAGTGATCAGAGAGTTGTTCAATGGCACAGCACGGGAAAAGAGGAGTATTTACTGTCTCCATTTACAGGTAACCGGATTTATAAAAATAATTTCTTGCAGGGGGTCCCATCAATACATGTTTGTTAGTAATTCTTCTATTACAGAAATCAATTTACAATTTGCATTTCCTGAGCTTCAAAAGCCTGACATATTGCTTTAAACCGCACCGTTCTTGTTTTAATTTCATCATGTTAATCCCATAAGGTATTCCTTCCCTGTAATACCTGTCAAATTTAAGTTTCAGATGCGGCAAAAAAAACCAAAACGTGCAGATCAGAGTATTTGTGGCAGTACAGATAATAACTAGGAACATGCTGTTTATTTAATAGCATACGTATTTATTTTATTCTGCGCAGTGACACACAGTATTACTTACTGAGACAGGGCTTGTGACAGATTCCCAGTTTGTCTCCGATGCTGCAGGCGGAAAATCATTCTGAAAGGAAAGGAAAAAGCTAGCATAAGAATTTAAACAAAGGCTGTGGCCAGGGATAAGATCTTTACTGTTAGATTTGAATAGCCTTTCAGGCATCCAGACTAGGCTGCTATAATAGAGCGTGAAAATACAGGATTACTTCATTCTGCAGGGCTGCTACTTGCAAAGATGGAAATTCTACTGAGAGCTGCAAGATAAATTAACATTATCTTATGCATTCTGATTTGTTACAGTTTCTAACTTGCTTATTATTTTAAAGCCGAATTCATATCCGATACTAAAAAAAAAGAAAGTGTTAAGCCAGTTATATAAAATAATACAATAATTAAATTAATTTTTTGATGTCGCTTAAGTTTAAAAACCTGATTTCTGTCTTTATTTAAGCTTCTTCTAACAGCTGGCTGAGGGAGGATCAGCTATTAGGTGAATCAGGTCTCTATGAGACCATTAGCTCTGCATTTTCTATTTACTTGACTTTTTTAGTCCAGTAAATATGGAATATTGCGTGTTAATACTTTGCATTTTTGTCAGCAGTTGGAGCTTTCAGCAATTTTTCAAATGCTTTCCAGGTTTTTCTAACACAGATGGTATTAAAGGCTAAGTTTACCTTTTGGACCATATTCTGGGTGAAACGTAAGGGGAACAGTCAGTTCTAGCTACTGTCCTGTCCATTGCAAACTGCTCCCTCAGTGAAGCAAACCAATTCACTCATCCCTATTATCTACCGTCAATTCCATTTACTGACATATCATCTACCATTGGTGTCTAATGCTTTCTCACTCCAATATAAGCTCATTTGGGTAAAGCCCTCTTCATCTGCTGTACATATTTGTTTTGAGTTTTTTTCATTTCTATATCTTAAAATGACACTAAACTCAGGAGTTAAATCTTAAAAATGCATTTTTGTACCCTAACTATTAACAATAATGTATCTTATTTGTGTATCACTCGGTTGTAGAGCCTCAAATCATCTCTGAATTGGTGCTGACACTGTCCTTCCTTCTGGAGGGTGGCAAAATAGCATCGTGATTTATCATCTGCACTCCATTCAGCAATTAGGCCTTGGTTGAAAGTCGTGGTGCTTGTAGTGATGACACGGATGGTGCCCTGTTTTCCAGGATCATGAAAGACGAAAATAACCAGCACTCAAAAGCATGGAATTTCTTTGCTTATTTATTAAAGTAACATGTCACAAGCGTCATTCAGCCAACATTTCGGGGCCACGCAGGGTCCCTTCTTCAGTGTGACATAGTGCTCGCTCCCATGATGGACTACAGGTTTTCATGTTTCATTTACTAATTGTATTGAGATTGTAGTCCATCATGGGGGTGGGCTTGAAGCGGTGACTACTTTACAACACACACAGGAACCATAGAGAACAAAAGTAGCCCCCCTCCAGAAGGAAGGACAGTGTCAGCACCAATTCCGAGATGATTTGAGGATCTACAGCTGAGTGATACACAAATAAGATACATTTTTGTTAATAGTTAAGGTACTTGAATGCATTTTTAAGATTTAAGTCCTGAGTTTAGTATCAATTTATCTATTTGAAGCACTGTGAAATATGTTGGTGCTTTATAAATAAACATATTAATAATCAAAGCTGAACCCTGGGCACAAAAATTATTAAAATATACAGATATAAATCCAATTTGTGTGCACCAAATGCCTTTGAAAACCCCAATAAAACCTTATAAAAGTAGCCGTAATATTATCACTAAGCTGTGCATAGCCTGTGCAGAAAGCAGAGCGGTGGGAGGGGCCTAGCAGGACTACCCACTACAGGTTGCCTGCACAAAACTACAGGAGGGGGCAGAGGCAAGACCAATCCCCCTGCACAAGTTGAGTGAGCACCAGTGTCTGGTCTTTAATACAGGAAGCTCCTGCACCAAGGCAAAGTTACTGACGAGATCTGAAAGAAATACACAAAGCACCACAAGATTGAAGTAAGAATACATAGGACTCCTGTAGTTAGATAGTATTTGTTTATCCTGAAGGTTAGCATTGAACAACAGCCTAGAAGGAGCATGCAGGGACGATGCAACAAGCTTACAAAGGCCTACAGACATTTGATGGTGGTAGTACATGCACGGCCTGGCTGCTGAAGACCTGTCTAACTATAGATCTATCTGCCAATATGCCTGTAAGCATTGAGCAAACTCACATGTTTGTGCCTATCAAAGAGGGAGCAAAAGTGCAGTGGGCACTGCTTGTGTTGAGGGAAACAAAATCTATCCTAGCCAATTAACTTTTCCCTGAGTAAGCTTACCCAAGGAACATCAAGCAAGCTCTTGTAAGGGTCTACAAACACATACATTTCCCAACTGTAAACATTCTCTAATGTCTGTAAGCACATTTAGAGAGAGACACGGACTAATTTAATTGGAAATATGCCAAGCAGCAGTGGTTTGCAGCAGAGTATGTGTGAGCACATAATGGTTAGAATAACCAACTTTAAATTGGTGGCCCTCCTCAATGTACTTTCACTGCTGCTTATAAGCCTCGTTCATTGTAGCTTATTAGGGTTATTGAAAATCACTGCATGTATTTATTAAAGGACATCTGAACAGCAAAATACTTACCTTTGCCCCTGATCCCAAGGCCTTCAATGTGTGGCCCTGCCCCGCTGTCTGGTGCCAGGCAGGGCTGCCCATTTAAGCAGGGATGAAGGCAAATTTATTTTAAGCAGGGATTTTGGGACTCTCAAAATAGTTACTTTCAAGATATGCCAACTGTCAAAATTGCCAGTGGGCCTATTTCAGCTCTCACCCGATCTTTCAAGTCCCCAAATGGCTGGTGTCATGGCTGATCACAGGTGCAGCACCATGGCAATTGGCAACCTTCCTTGACTGTAAAGGATAAGAGGTTGTAGTTCCGCTTTAAGGCCTTGTTAACACTAGACACAGTGCGTTACGGCTCAATTCTGGCCAGAACGCACTGCATCCCATTGTGGCCAGCTCACTATGTTGTGGGGCAGGAGCTGCTTCAGCTAAAAAAAGCAAGGAAGAAAGTAAGAGATTTTTTTCCCCCTTGTAGTAATCAAATCATTTACTGTACATATACAGCTAGGTAACACTCAGAAAGCACCAATCTATCTAAATGGACACCATACAGTACCCGGTTTTACCCTCCAGGGCACCTTTACTGAAAAATGAGTTACGCCTTTAAGATAAGATCTTGCTGTCATTTGCAAGTTTATTGTAGCCGGCATAAAGGCTTTAAAAAAAAATATTCCTAAATCATATGAAAGAAATTGGATTCATATTACAAAGCAGTCGCTCCTATCGCCAAAATACAAATTATGACATACAAGTGCTTCATAAACATCCTTGCTCCAGGCTTTATCATTTGGTAGGAAAATAAACAGTAATGGAAAATCGCCCGAGACTTATGTGTTTGTACGAGGAGAGAATATGAAATATTTGGCATGATATTGCATTTTTATGCAAATTCAATAATGCGCATTCACAAAATTTCCTTTGGAGATGTAATATGTCTGAAAAGTACTATAAAATGTGCAATTATTGTCAAGTGAACGATACTCTGTGTTTTGTTAAGTAGAAAAGATGTCACGATAAATATTTAGATGTGTAAATCAGGGCGCAAAATGCTTTCTTTAATACAAGGCAATTAAAGGGGAGTTTCAGGGAGAATGGAGGCCTGGAAATAAGAGGAGACAGCTACATACTGAAGAGCTGGTCTATGACCCAAGTTAATGTCTATCAAATAGGGATGAGGTGCGGGTCAACCATGAGTTACACCCAAGCTCTACCCAAAATCACAGTTCACTGTGCGGGTGAAATAAATGGCCAGATTTGGCCAAATGGACAAAATTGTTGTGCCCTGGTCACCGTGTTTTTGTTGACAGGTTATCGGGGCAGTAGTCATCATGGCTGATGATGGATCTGCATCGCTAAATGATGTGATTGAGGCTGGATTTACATCATGAGACATGCTTTATTTTCAATTTAAATGCGGGCTGTAATTATTTATTTTTCAACTGTTATCTGTAAATGAGTAACCAGGGTGTTTCCAGATTCCATTAAGTCCTCCCTCACAGACACCCACCCCATACCCCGGGCCAGGGATGTGGGGAAGAATACCTTGTCCTCATCAATATGGGGACAAGGTGCTTTGCCAGGAGGTGGGGG